GTGACAACACATTATATAACATTGATAACATCTTATATATCTCGGTTAAAGGTCAATTTTGAATTAAATTATCTAAACTTAAGCATAATAGACTTTATTCATCATCATCATCATTCATCAGAATTTCGTTTAATTGTGTGCAATTTTGATTTAAACAATAAATTATTTTTTCACAGGGCTAATCGCTAGACAATAAATTGTAAATTAGTATAAAAAACAATCACTCTTAATATCCTAATCAGTCTTTATTACCATAAAATTCTTTGAATATACATACAACATTTTAAAGATAAATAAATTATAGACTTCACATTAAACGAATGGAACCTAGGTCATTTCTGTATTAATTAAAACTTTTTTTAATTAAGTCAGCATTATTTTAATTATAAGCGTTGTATTTATTAATGTTAATTTAATAGCTAATAATAAAATACAAACTAGACAAATTATATTATTATAGTTAAAAATAACAAAATTTTAGATATAAGTAAACAACGACAGTACAAGCCGGGTTGGTTCATTCAGGGAAATACCTCGCCCGCAAAGTAGGCAAAGTAGAACTACTTGTCAAACAATAAACACCTGTGCATTGTTAGGCGACGACTTAGTGGCGCGCCGAGGTTCAGGCTAGGCGCCCCGAGCGCCCAGCCACCTCATGCCCCAATGGCTCATCCAGCCCAAAAAAAAAATTCTGGCGCTCCCAGTCAGATAATAGCTACCGATCGAGCCGAGGTCCGACCCTCTCGGGCACCCTCGAATCGGAATGCTAAACGGGTGCTGAGTGACAGCCCAAGCCGAGGTCCCCTCTCGGGGACCCTTGAGCCTGATCACTCCATGGAGCGCCATAGCGCCATAGCGGAGTCACCATAACGCGTAATAATAATACGCCGAGGTTCAGGCTAGGCGCCCCGTGCGCCAGGCTACCTCATGCCCGTCGGAACTGTAAAGGCCCCTAAGGCCAACAGTGGCTCATCCAGCCCAAAAAAAAAAATTGTGGCGCAATTGCCAAGGTATCGGCTTCGATCCCCGGAGTCGTGGGTTCGGGTTTTTCTTTTTTGCACTATAAAGGTCGTCAAGGCATTAGCAATTCCACGGTTGCTGTGAATCTTTACCGTACCAGCGCGTTGTTGCCATAAAAAATTCTATCTTCTTTCCCTCATAAAAAACAACACTTTAAAGTTATTCCTTAAACTTAGATAACTTTGGTTTTAACTTCGTCTAATGTACTTAAATAGGCTACGGTTAAAATTTTTATATAGTTGTTATACCAAGGGAAATGATTTACTTCTGTCACCGTACGTATTCATCCGATATTTTAAGGAATTCAATAAATAGTGTAATATTTTTTATACTTATAAACATTGTGAACTTTTGCAATGTCTAAAGACTTCCACTACCTTGGATGAATGAAATATGTTTTAACTCGTACTTTTACTGGTAAATTTGAAAGTTGTCACTTTTTTCCCATCGAGGTCAGTAATATGTTATTGTAAATTTATGTATGAGTAATCTATTAATCGATTATTCAGTCAAATAGTAAATGTTTCCGACATTAGCGACGTTTAATGTCTTTGTAGGCAATAGTTCTTTTAAAATACGGCATTCATTTCCATTATGTAAATATGAATTACGTAAAAAGTTAAATAAATTATACAGTCATAAACAAACCTCATTGGGTTTTATATGCAATATATTAATATCAATTTCATACACAAGGGCCGGGACGAAAGTTGCTCGGTTAGACATTGAATTATATACTTACATGTAATAAAATGGTGAAATAATTGTTTTTTTTATGTGACAAGTTGCCAAACGAGTAGTCGGGTCACCTGATATAAAGTGAATACTGCTGCCCACGGACATCTGTTACACCCGAGGGTTCCAGATGCGTTGACAACCTTTTGAAAATTGGGCTCCAGCCACCTCACTCACCAGACGAAACGCGAAAGTAATGTATTTCCACTTTACGCTGGTCTTCTGTGAGGTCATGGTACTTACCCGGAAGAGCCTGCCCATTCGTGCAACAGCCGAGACTACTGCGAGGCCCTACCACCGTTAAATTGTCACATGATAATTATGTCAACTATTTAAGCCAAAAATATGGTAATGTGAAAAATGTATACCGGATTATGTAGATTAGTAAAAATAAATTATTAGCGTTGCTCTATTGTTGCACTGATAATTAATTATGTTGTACTAGTAATAGTTAATATATAACATAAAATGGTTATTTTTTACGATAAAAATTACGAAAATTATGATTTGTAGTAAATATAAATAGTGACTATAGTATTTATTCACAGCAACTTTATAATTATTAAGAGTACCCTACATTTAATATGATCTGTATTTATATGTAGGCCTCTCCATCCATTGAAAAATATTAGGTTATTAAAAAAAATTAAGTAAAAAAGTATTTCTTATTCTACAATACTTAAATTTATTTATTTCAAATGACGCTATAATCGAAATTTATACGACTATCCTTTAATCATTAACATAATATAAATGGAAAAATACATAATGTCAGCAAATTACGAACGAACGAACAGGTTTTGTGTTAAGATGAGAAATTTTAAATTCCATTTTGGATCATTGGTATCTGTTTGTAATCAAAAATAAACTTCCATATAGACTTGGTAATTTAAACTACGTAGACTTTTTTAAACACATATCGAAAAATGATCTTTGAAATTATGGTAATGTTTTATAGAGACGTTTTACAAACACAAATTGTACAAGGTCAAACACTCAGATCCGAACAATATGTATACGTCATACAAACAACACTGGGACTCAACGCACGACCAGTTACGCAGTCTCGTCCTTAGCATCTGCGACAACTGATCTGTCGATTTGAAAATTAACGTACGATTTCTTCACTTTGAGAGTTAGCATTTTGAAAATGTATCATATTGTTTTTTCATATAATTAAACGTAAATACGCAAAGATGTTACTCACAGGGAAAGGGAGAGAATATAGTTTTACACTTTGCAAGATCCTTACACATAATAATAATAATATAAGTAGTCTACGGAGGCCGTGCTCGAAAATGACCGCGCCAGGCTCTATTGGGACCGGTCCATCATCACGGACAGGACGATTGTCGCGAACAAACCTGATATCGTGTTGACGGACCGGGCACAGTCACGGGTATTTTTGGTCGACATTACCATTCCATAAGACGAGAACCTCGTGAAAGCCGAAACAGATAGGAAGACGAAGTATCTGGACCTGGCTCACGAGGTGACCGAGATGTGGGGTGGTGTGCCGACCGAAATTATCCCGATAGTCGTGTCTCCGAATGGGTTGATCCCAGTCAGCCTCTCCGGACATCTGAGGCGACTGGGACTCCGGGACGGAACGCTTCAGGCTCTAATGCAGAAAGCGGTGCTCCTCGATACCGCCCGCATCGTCCGCCGGTTTCTCTCCCTTTCACCCTAACCCTCGGCCGTTTGGTCTCCCCTGCCGAGGTCTTTCGTCTGGTTGGGTCCTATTTATATATGTATTATATATAATACTTAATGTTGTATTATATACAATACTTATATCTATATATTTATTTTTATTCATAATATTTATTTTGCAATATGTTTAATTTTTATCTATAAACCCAACCAGACGAGAGAACAAATAAATATCCCCAACATAATAATAATTATCTTTCACCTTTTCTACACACAAACATACTTCTATCCATACATGTTCGATGTATTTTTAAAGCCTTGTAATAGCTTTCCTACTATGTGATTTCATATGGTAAGGATGATTAAGAAATAAAATTTCACTTAGATTTCATTAAGAGCCTATCACGGCTCAGTGTCCAGGCGCTCGCCTTTAATTCAATATACTTGAGCAACCTGAGTTCAATCCCCGGTGCTGCCACCAATGAAATTGTTAATTTTAAGTTCCGAATTTTCACGTGCTCAACGATGAAGGAAAACGTAGTAAGGAAATACATGCATATTTTCGAAATACTAAAAAAACGAAGATATGTGAAGTCCACCAATCCGCAGTGGGGCCGCGTGGTGGATTATGCCCTAATACCCTCTGTGCAGAGGAGGTCTTTGCCCAGCAATGGGACATGTATAGGCTGATACTTATGGATTTCATACACCCAAATCCGTACAATCATCATGTGATTCAGAAAAATAGTTGTCCCGTGGGAATCGAATCCACGAACTCTTTTATTATAATATCCTGTACGCATTATCAAATATATTAATGAACGTTCGTAAGCAGGAATCAGAGGGTGTACTCAGTTTGTTAAGATGTGCATTTTGAAAATCTTATGCTTCTTTTGTTTTCTCCTAGTGTTGGCGGCACTCGGAGACAGTTCGGCCAAGTTCTTGGCGGGCATTCAGTGTCAGCTGGCTCTACAGTTGACTTGGACTCTTCAGGAAAGGGTTACTATGATCAATACGCGTCAGTGAGCAATTAACTTGGTAAACTTATTATTAAAACTGAATGAATATCCATACGAGCAAAAGCAACGATTTCAATTTTCTATTTTTAAAAAGCCAAAGAAATATTCCTTAGTAACAAAAAAAGATATCGGATCGAGAGATGCGCGAAAATTTAAAATTCAGATAAGTTTTAAAAACGTGTTTATAAAATATAAAAAACATGTTTATTAACAACTAATGATTCACCAGTATTATAAAATATGTGGCAACCTTAATTAAAGCAATTGATAATAGTAATAACAGATGGATGAGAAAATAAAATCACATGATGTAACATATTAATTCTTGTAGTGTGTGAATAGGATTTTTTAGATCAATAAAAGTTTTGTTTCAAAATAAGTTTTATTGTTTCATGTACAACTACTGTCAGTTATTAACTAATGTTAAGAGAGCCTCTTGAATTTCAATTATACATACCCGTGATTATCACAATTAAAAAAATCTTCTTATCGCTTTATGTAATTATTTCGAAATGCTTCTTCGTTGTTAATTAAAATTTCCTACTAAAAATCAGATAATACAACTAAATTTTAGTAATACTTCTGTGGCAGTTCCAGTCTATTTGTGGGCTTATCGTAATGATAGCCCGGGGACGGCTGCGGCTGTGGCACTGGGGCTGGCTGGGGAACCGGTGCTGGTAAAGGCTGCGGAGCTATCGGAACTTGAGGTGGGGTCACGATAACTGCGTCATCAGTGACGGCCACATCCCTGCTGAATGGCACTCTTTGGCCGAAACCGGGCTGGTACACTCTTCCCTGGTAGAAATCTTGCAAGGAGTACTGAATAGGATTATTAAACTGACTCGGTACGCCGTATTCTCTTGGTAATTCCATACGACCGAACATGTTGCCTAAGAAGGGAAACTTATTGGTCAATGTCGCCCAAAATCCTGTGCCGCCCACTTGGTTACTCCCCTGACCGCTACCCCAGAAGAGCCTCTGCGAATGCTCCTGAGGAACGTTGTAGTTGTACACAATCGGGTACGGATCATTAGGCCCATTGTAATAAGGCGCCTCTCTTTGCACGTTGTAGGCTAAAGAGCTACCTGTAAGTTTTAAAAAGGTATTATTGTAAAATGAAACAAAAAAATAAATAAAAAGAGAAATGTGAAATTACATGAAACGTATTGATTTTTTATTTGTTAATTAACATTTAATCGATCATTATTAAATGTACATAGATACATATAAACGTTTTTTGCATTATGTAAAAATTTCACAAATAATTATGAAATAGACGAAAAGCATTTTAAACTTAAATTCAGAAGTCAAAACTTTTAACGATCAATTCCCATAGTGTGTCACGTTAATCTTAAACACTGACCCTCGGAGTAATGTGGGAATTTTAATGTGGAAACAATTGCAAACGGAACATTTCATTAAACCGAGTAGTAATTGAAATAAATATAGGAAAATGTGTGAAACATTGAGGTATTCACGTAACACGTACCCATGAGCCCGAACAAAAACAAAAACGTCGGTGTGTACATTTTTGCACGGTCAACTGAACCCCAACTGCGGGACGTTGTTGCTCGTCTTCGCCTTTATACCTCAACGTATTTGTTCCTAAGAGTGGGCCTTGAAGTAAAATTCTCGTAACCCAATATTGAAAGTGTGAGGTAATAGTACCGCAGTGGCTCACCCAGCGGGCAGCGTGGACAATAGGCGCGACATCTAGGTGACTCGTGCGCCGCCTGCATACACAGGCTGTGCCAAAATCCGAGGCAATCGTTTCGGACAACTTGCTCCTGCCCAATATGCAACGCGGGATACGACCGTAAATGAGCATTGCATAGCATTGACCATTTTGCATATTTCGCAGCTTCCCCTACCACTTATTTGGTAGGATTTGTTGCGCAATCAGATTTGGATATCGATTATTCAGCACGCATTGCGCTTTCAACCGACGTGGAAGGGAATGAAGATAAAAGTTTTGAATTTTTCATTACTCATGTACTTTCCTCTTCAAAGATGATGTAGATATAGAGATGAAATAGATATAAAATAGCCGTTAGTGTTTAATAGGATTGAACTGGAGTTCATTCCAATAGTCTATTAGATTAGTATTGTATATTTACATATTATATGTATTAACAAATGTAAATATTTAATAGCCCATAACTATTAACCGCTTAACACGTGATAACTCAGCACTTAAAACTAACAATTTCATTGCTGCCGGCACCAGGACTTGAGATCAGGATGCTCGAGTGTATTGAATTAGAAGGCAGCCGCGGACACTGAGCTATAACTGCTCAATATCGTTCACGTGAAAATGAGACAATTTTTGAGTGTGATCAAGAGTCAATAAGAGTTATAAACAAATCAAACATTGCAGTCATGCAATTCGTCTAGGTCCAAAGCACATTAAAACTATAATCGCGCGATAATTTATCAAATATATGCATTAAGCAAACATTAAAGGTTATCAGGATATAATTTTTTAAATGTTATCATTGTCATAACTGCACATTATTTATATCACTGGCAATATTTATTCATAGTACAACGAATTTTAAACTCATAAACCTTTTAAAATGAATCTTGAATGTCGTGTTAATGAAAAATCAAGCAAGCCATACAATAAATAGTTTTAATGATCCATGACGAGCTTGGTATTAGATTAAAGGCAGATGATATTTTGGATCATTAAGATTCCTTGTATGTGAATAAAGCGACTAGCATCTCATAATGTAGTAAAAGTGCAAATTGATTTTGAGAATTTCCTCGATGGTATCTCTGTAAGCCGAAATTCCAATACCAATTAAATTTATATTTAACCACATGTGAGCTAAACGGAACCCAGCACAAAAATAATTTGTAAAACTAGTTCATAAATTACAGAATTCTAAGGTAACAAATATAAAAAAACAAACAACCGAATTGAGAACCTTCTCCTTTGTTGAAGTCGGTCGAAATTTTTCTTAATTTAATTAGTTAAATTAAAAGTAAAATATTCAAAGAGAACAAAAAGAACATTGTAAATTTTATTTAGACCAATGTTTTCCGCTCATCCTGTGAACAATAAAGATTCGTGAAAAATGCACTCAAACGTGCGTGCGTGTTTGCCCAACATAATCGGCATTATTCATAAGATAACAAGTGTTTACCTTCAACAGTTGTCACGGTATTGTAGTCGGCGGAGGCGCAGAAGCGTTTTGCGAAACGTTGCTCAACATCGAGCTTTACATAAATCCAAATACCTATTGAAAGGTATGGCATTGTTGACAAAAGTGACTGTGATATATTTGCTTGTGATAACATTTCTGCGTCGTAATCTTATCGACTTCCTTTTCTACCCTTAAATGCGAAATAGAATTCGGGTATTATTTCTTGCTAGTAATAATGACATGTACTGATAACAGAGAGATATGTGAAGTGAAAGGGCGATCACAGATACTACATACTACCTTTGAAATATTAATTATATATACATAAATAGATATTAGATGCCAAAAATCTCCATAAACCTTACTCAGCTACCTCTGCAGTCGATAGTCAGGCTCTTTCAATCAGACTTTTTATGTTGTATTAGCGGACCGGACAGACGTTGTCCTGTACACATGACTTAAATCCGACACCTTAAAAAAACTGTGTATCTAAACTAATCTCCAATAGACCTGAAGACACACAAAAACTTTCATTAAAATCAGTCGAGCAGAGAAGAATTATATATATATAAAGATGTTAAAAAATGGAAAAAAAGTAGCCCGATGAGTTTCTTTCGCCGCTTCTTCTCAGTTCAGTGGCTTTCTTTTAAGAACCGTTCGAATTGAAGAATTAAGTGGTTTAAGATAAAATTGTAGTGTCATCAATGTCGCTTTAAATCAGATATTCATCACTTAACAATTATTCAGATAGTCTTTCAATGTATAATATGCCACAAAGCTTTTTGTTATGTATTAAGGGAAATCTTTATCTTCCTTAGGTCTATTTTTTCAAAGGGGACCTAGCACCAAGATAAAGTTTTCTTAAATACATTTATGAAACGAGACCTAATTTAACTTATTAAATCGACAGTAAAGTTAAGTGGCTCCGGCATCTCTATGTGAATTCATCTATCAGTCTAGGCACTCGACACTGAGCATAAGCTTATTCAGGGAGGGGAGATGCTTCTCTTGGCACCCAACTCTTGTTACAGCAAGCACATAACCACTCTGTGTAGCCTGGATTCATTTCAGTGGCCAATCAGGCCCTGCATATTTTCACAGGATCTCGAAATTTTCGACAAGTACAGCCCCGGGAATACGGAACTGATTTGACATTGCTTCCCTAATAAAACGACTATTATAGGTATGAAGTGATAGCAGTGATCTCAACCAAATATTTTACAAGCCTCAAAACAAAAAGAATACAATGCTAATATATATAATATAATCTTGGACCCAAGGCAAATAAACGTTTTAATGCTTCCCTCGCTGATCTATTCAAATATGTATACACATAATATATTTGTATATACATAATATGTAATAATTTTCATTTTTTTCCTTATGTATATGTATTACCATTATATAAAAAATTAGGGATATCCACAGACAACTACCTGTAAAAAATTTAAAACCTCGGCAGCTGCCTATGCTATATTTATGACTATATATCATTAAAAAAAAAAGAAAAACAAAACCGTCGAGTTTCATGCCGGTTCTATGAAGTTCAATGAGACCTTTAAGCAAGTCTATATTGGCAAAAGAAATTTTTACTTTGACTCTTATTAATTGTTTTTAAATAACGTGTTCTAAACTAAAAAAAAGGTCATAGACGAACAAAAATCGATGCTGTGTTTTTTAGTATACGGCTGTTCGGCATTATTTATCAATATAATTTTAAATTGAAGTAATAGAGCCTTCTGAATTCAAATTAAGACGCCGGGTTTAAAAAAAAATTTAATACTTCCGCCGCTTACTAATCATTGTTTTAGTTTACAATATTAATTAGATAGCTTATGTCTCTGATCATCACATGAAGTGAGTAATTCAATGCCTTTTACATTTCTCTTGTCAATAAATTAAAAAAGAACAAGGCTTTTCATTTACGCAATGTTCATGTTACAGAATAGCAAAAGATTGAAATGTCTGATAAAATTGAATATTTAATGTTGGGATTGATTGTGTTAGTTTTTAAAGATTTACGGCTTTGACAAACCATATATCAAGCGACGTAATATCTTATCTTTCGATCAAAACCAGCCTAAAGATCAGTTTCTACTATTAATAAGGAAAGTTAAGTAAAGAAGTAGACGTGGATTCATGAGCTTCGAATCATTTCAAATGTTTTGGTGACGTGGATTAAAAATCAATGCTATTTTTATATTGCAGCAGGTCTTTATTAATTTATGGGACTACTTAAAACGCAATCAGTTAGTTTTAAGATACTGGCCGCATCTTTATTTCGTCGTGGACTATGATAATTAAGGCTTCATTATGGGTTTTTTATACAAACGAGAAATTTTTCAATTGCTTGACAATAATACTAAACTACATAACAATTAACAAGAAGTTACAGTCAAATTGATTTCATAGAAAAATTCACTTGTTAGTTGCAAACGAACAATAAATATTGTGAAGTTTAATCAGTGAGCACATTACATTTTTATTTTACAAATTGCTACTGCCTTACAAGAATAAAAAAAGACTAATTTCAAAGATGAATACCTACTATGTATCACATTCTAGATCCCAGTTCAAATGGTTAAATATTGTTTGCAATTTCCAAATCCACCTTCACCTTCATGTTTTAGAAATAAGTTTTAATGTCTCTCCTTATTCAAAGGTAAGGGTCTCTGGTCTTCGACTAATGATGAAATTTCTATCCCTTCTCACTTCACTGAATCTTTGAACAATTAAGGTAAACGACCCCCCTAAAATCGGCACCCATTACCGCCCGTTTCATGGAACTATTATTTTGAAGTGTTGTATTAATACTGTGATGTGGTGAGAGGTTATCTATACAGAGATAAATAAAATGGTTGTCTGTTGTAATATTAACCGCTTTACTAAATGCATATGGGTCTATTATACACGGTACATAAACCAAAATATTTTTTTTCAACGTCTGTCTGTTTGTTCCGGCTAATCTCTGAAATGGCTCGACCGATTTGGCGGGACTTTCGTTTGTACGCTTTGATCTTTTAAACTACGCAACGGTTTTTAATACAGTTTTCGGCAATAGATAGAGTGATTTAAGAGGAAGATTTATATGTAATATAGGTTTATATGTATTTAGGGGGACGAAGCTGTTCGCGTCCGTAGGAGCATACTTGAATTATGATACCCCGTGTCCCCTGGGTAGTGCTAAACGAACGGCTACACTGGTGGTAGGCCTCATCATCGGCTGCCGGCTTTAAGTTACCACCCGTCATACAAAGGCATGCTGCCAAACGACTCGTCGTGTTCCAGCATGATGTCTGACGAAGCCGTGTGGAGGGTGGGTCTGTACTGTTGCTTTGTGACGAATTCCGGGTACGATGCACCAGTTTTTCAGTATCGGGTGCTTGCTCGCGGAGGGTAGCGGGATCCGAAGAACGGTGCTCCGCTGGCCGCCCGCAGTTAGTAGGAGGCTCAAGTAGTGTGCCAGCCACGCACGAAAGGCTGCCCCGCCAACTGTGCATACTCCCAGGGTGGCCCCATCGTGCCGGTTGGCGACCGGGAGAGAGGACCCGATGGCGATCCCTGGGGAGGTTCGGGCGTCCCCGCAGTCTCCAGATCAAGCCCCCTGCGGTGCTGTGACTCTGGTTGCATTGTTGGGTAACATCGCAAGGCCTCGTTCAACTGCCATCCTCCATCCTATTCACTCCACATACTAAATGCATAATCAGAAAAAGAAAAGTAGGTTCACACAGCGGATGCACTTCCTCTCCGAGAGAGGTGCACTTGTAACCTCTCTAACATTCGAGGTCTGCACTCAAATCTCTCTTCTATCCACCATCATCTACTGACTGACAAACCGCATCTACTTTTCTTGACGGAGACACAAATACGATGTCCTACAGATACGGCGTACCTGGACTATCCAGGGTATATTTTGGAGCACCACTTCCACCAGCGTGCCGGAGTCTGTGTATATGCCCGCAATGATATCTGTTATCAGCGTCTCCGTCACCTTGAAGACGCCAGTTTTTCAACCCTTTGGGTGTTAGTGGATACAGGAGTGGAAAAAATCATCTATTCCTGTATCTATCGATCGCACAGCGGTGACCAGGAGACAACTCGTTTATTCGCTCATTTTAGCGAGGCCGCTGATGTGGCAGTCCAACGGTACCCAGTTGGTCTTTCTGGGGGTTTTAACGCCTGTCATCAGGACTGGTTATTCCCATACCAGAGGACTGACCATGCCGGGAGAGAAGTGTGGAACTTTTCTACCTCTCTCGGTCTCTCCCAGCTGGTGTAGCAGGCGACCAGGGTACCAGATGTGGACAGTCACATAGCCAATTGCCTGGACCTTCTGCTGACAACAAATAGTGTTCAGGTCTCCTCTCCTTTAGGAACTTCTGACCACTGTCTGGTGAAATCTGTGTCGTTGTATTCTCCACCCGATCACAAAGCACAGGGTGTGCGACGAATTTGGCGATAGAAGTCAGCAGATTGGGATGAGATGCGGCACTTTTTTGCTTCTTATCCTTGGCGGCAAATTTGCTTTACTTCTGAAGACCCGTCGAGCTGCGCGGAAGCCGTAACCGATGTGATACGTCAAGCAATGGAGTATTTCATCCCATTTGCTGACGTACCTATCGGTGGCAAAGCTCACCCATGGTTTAACGCTGAATGTACTCGAGCTGAAAAGAAAAAGCATTCAGCGTACTTGTCCTGGGTTGAAGCTCGACACCGCAAAGCTCCAGATATCAGCCTCAAGAAGAAAGCCTTTAACCGGGCCGCTAAGTCCTACAAAAAGACGTTGCGGCGAGCTGGATTCGACCGTATTCAACAAATCGGCACGAAGCTCTATGCCCAATCATCTGGCAGCAGAGCTTTTTGATCTCTTGCCAAAGCGGTCGAATCCAACTTCTGTCGGCCATCACTGCCTCCGCTGGTAAAACCGGATGCATCACTGGCACATGCGAGCAAAGACAAGCACAAGCAAGGCTGATTTATTTGCCTCTCTATTTGCCCACAATTCACATCTAGACTCTGGGAGCAATTTACCACCATCACTACCTCATTGCGAAACCTCCATGACGGAGGTTCGTATAAAAAAACCGCGAGGTCTTAAAAACTTTAAGGAGT